AAAAATTGAGACGTTAGAAAACCAAAAAGTTGTGGAATTGAGTGTGTGGTTGATAATGATATAAGACTATACCTTTGGGATGTACGGAGTTGTAATGCACCTCGGCCCAAAAACTTAGATTAATGACTGTATACAACCGCACCCATAGGGAAACAAAATATACAATTATTATTTGTATTATTTAAAAACATAGAATAATGTCAATTTTTTAGTCTGGTTTTCAAATATAATAGAATGAAACCCGAGGCTTATAATGCGTCTTTTAAATTAAGGACAAATGAGCATAAAACGTGTTCAAAAGAAAGACCAGGCCAGGTTGTATGATCTTTGTCTAGTTTTATTTTAGGCATAAATAAAAGGTTAAGGATCGAAATAACCTTTTTCTGATTTCTTTACGTTTGGAAGAATCTCAAGAAAACCAGTGTCCTTGAAAGATGTTATGACAAGAACTTTAACACCATACTATCAAAATTACAAAATATAATAGATCATCACTTAACAATAAAAAATACACACTAGGGAGTTAGTAGACGATTTTTGGAAGTAGAATCAACAAAACATGTAATATAAATATCGGAATAGGAAAAAGAACAAATTGAAAATGAAAGTGGAATAGAAAAAATGAAGTATGTGTGTTAGTATTGATTACAAGGTCTGCAGCGGCCTGCAATGTAACATGATCACCCCATGCCCCACTCCTGGGAAAATTAATATTAATGTAAGCATGCATAAAGCACGTACAAATGACAAAAGACATTCTAAATATATACTAACCAATCAAATATAATGTAACAAAGTTATGTGAATTGTGAGTTTGAAAGTTACTTTGACATCTTCTTTAAGTAGTCATCATAGACCATGGGAACATGACCCTTGTACATCTCTGGGTGACTTTTAAGCTGGTGGAAACCCAATGATTATAAGTGAAAATGTTAAATAAATTAGAGTGAAAAGTCACGAATGAACTTATAGCAATCAAATTATAATTGAAGAAAAATTGATTCCCAACAAACATCAATAATCACCTGATTAACAACATGCTCCCTGACACAATTGTGCCATTCAGGTGTACCATATATTTCATCTGATAAAGCACGAAACTGAAAGAAAAGACCAATACATTCTACTTGAGCGGATATTACTATACTAGCTTTATAATAATCTTCTTATTTGATGAAGCACAAAATTGAAAAAAAGAAGAAGATAAAGGCATTCCACTTGAAAAGATCATATAAAGAGGTTATTTCAAATTAAAGTTTAGGTTCATATTAGCCCTTTCTTGGGACCCATATCGGTCTATGCACAGCCTATGGATGAGAGGCATATAGAAATTAATCCATCTATCCTTTTTACATTTCTTTTTATTGCTTGACGCAGTTTTTAACAAGTTAAAACAGTGTGTTTGGAATTTCTTTACTTCTCTTTTTAGCTTGACACAGCTTTTTCATATGTAAAAATTGAATCGATATTTCAAGGGCTGCATGATGGACTAAACAAAGCACCAGGTTGGCTGATGGGGTTGCGTTAGGAATTTATGAATGCTAATTCCTCGTATGTGCCATAAGCATACACTTATTGGCCATCATCATAAATAAGATCAATACAATTTTAATTTATACAAGATGGAGCAAGGAGTAAAAATAGAAATAACCTGACAGTTTCCATCCCCTTTAACTTGGTGCTCAACCAAACCATTCTCCAGTAATCTGAAACCATAAATGTCACTATTCACTTCACAATATGGAGCTAAAACATGTAGTAAAATGCAAGGCGAGGTTTTCTGCTAGTTAAAAAGATGGCATGAAATATCTCCCAAAAATTGGAAAAACATCTAGTAACAGGTAAAATGACTTTTGATCAACACTACTTTAGACGTTTAGGCTAGTCACATGTAGGTTGGTTTTTGTGCAACTATGATGCATGGTCTCACACTCATTTCATTTAAATATTAAAATTACAAGATAATATTATTTTTATGTAAAATGTGATCTGAGTTTTAAAATGACAAAGCATTGCAAATCCCAAATGAAGTGCTTCAATTCATCCACAAAGTAGAGAGAAAAAGATTTTAGTTGGCTAGTCAAATCCGTGAAGGAGTATATATTATCTTAGGGAGGCTATATTTCCATTAGTTTGAAAGGTCTCTTACAATTTATAACGACTTCAAAATCTATTTTGTCATACAATTTTGTGCAATATCACAAGGTCCTAAGATGGTCAATCACTACCTTTTTTGTAGCCTTTCATGATCAGAAATTGTTTCATCTGCCGAAGGTATATCTCCATTTATTCTCGGAATGTGCTGGATGAAAATAATATAAAGTCATATTCATTCAAAATCACTAATGATAATCTCACATCCATATTACAAAGAAACAAGAAAGTGTTAGTCCCAAAGGAATGCTCCTAAATATAATATGGACTATATGTGATACTGCATTTGAGGATCAATTATCTTCCCATCAGCCCTAATAAAAAATTAAACGCATAAATCAAATTCTGAATAACAATATACTCCCTCAATCCCTGAAAGACTATCCTCTTTCGTTTTACTGTACATGTGACCAATATAATTCATATCCCTTTTGTAATTTAGTGTATCAAATTTATCATATTCAAATTCAATTTTGCAGTTCGATAGAGCATTTGGGCAAGTTTCCCAATATGCAATCTTAAATACGAATTTAAATGTAATTAGAAGGATTACTTTATGAAACTTCATAACCCGTAATTAAGTACCTAGTAAACCAATTTGAGACGGAAGTAATGTTGAATTATTCAATATATTTTACTAAAGTGGATTTGCATTACTCTCTCATCAATATATGAAAAGAAGAAATGTTAAGTCCACATAAATGCAAGTGAGAGTTACAAAATATATAACTTACTAAAACCAAAAAATTGATTCACTCATGCATCCATTGAGTTGAATGTGAGTTAATGTTGGTCATTAGATATGGAAAATAAAAACAAACATACTTTTTTAGTAACCATTTGGTTCAATGGGTTGCAAACTTCTCCATCTACATCACTATGGCCTGCAAAATTTCACAACATTTAGCATCAATAGAAAGTGTTTAAGACATGTACATACTAGATAGCCAGACACAATGTAGTGAAGGTAAGGAATGTAGCAATGTGATCATGGAAACCAATGGAGTCACAAACATGTGTGTTTGATTGTTCATACATGAAGGTTTGAGATTTAGTAATTGAAAGCTCTGGCCAACATCATCAATGCACCAATAAAACAAAAAATCGGCTACTAGAAGTTCAAAACTGCTAAATTGGGTCGATAACACAACCTTGTTTTCCTGGAAGTAGATTAACCTTCAATATTATCTTAGTGCAGGTTTTCAAGAACCTATAATTCACAATTTGAAGTAATGTCATATGCATTAGCAGCTGATTATGAAAAATTGCAATAAGAGAAGGGAAAGCACAGATGGATATAAAGTATAGGCATTACTAAGATTTTTCCTGCTTAATAGCTTAAGTTTCCAATGATAAAAGCATCCATAGTAGCTCTAGAATAGCCATGGGAATTGGAGTCTCCTCATTAATTTTCATATTGTAAATAAGTAACATACTTTTGTGTAGTAATAATGTTATTGAAGATTGTATTTAGTAAGTATTGTATCTCACTGAAGCTTAGCGAAGTACAAACTCCACTTGTGCAATTAGTTACAATTTATAAGAGCAAGCACTAGTTACCAATTATACTGAAAATTGAAATCAAATAGTGCATAATGCTTTGGAAAGTAGCATTATCCCCCATGATGGTGATGGATGTTTCATGCCCTAACATCTTTCTAATTCTAAATCCACGAGTGATATAGATGTGTTTATTTAAGCTCAAATGGCAAACCACTTGAAAGGTCTAATTGAGAATGTTAATAAGTACTACCTCTGTTTTTAAATAAGTGTTATGGTCAACTTTTCATGTTTGCTAACATACAACTTTGACTATTACTATGTTTAATTCTTTATTATTAAAAAATTTAAAATATTAGATTTCAAAAATTTACGATGAGACAAATTTAACAATATTTTTTAAAAATAAATTATTATTATTATTACATTAATAAATAAAACATAGTCAAAGTAGAACATGTGAATAGTGTAAAAGTCAACATGTTGCACTTAGTTAAGAACAGGGGAAATATTAACATTCTCAGTTATAATGTTCATAAGTATTTCCTCAAAAAGAATGTTCATAAGTATTAATATTCTCAATTAGAATGTTAATACATATAAGACTGTTAATAAGTATTAACATTCTCTTTAATTTAATCATTTGCGTGTAATTTTTATTCTACACATACCAGAAAAGTGCTTGTATTAACTTCAATATGCTTAAAGAAGGAGATATTTGCATGAATTTGTTCCTCAAGTCCTGTTATTCCGCAATCATAATTAAAAACAAAAACTTCAAATTTCGTATGAGATTAACAAGGAATGGAAACATAACCAACACTCTAATAATAAACTGAACACATTTGCAATAGCAAATTGAAGTAATAAATTTACAACGATGAATATGTCATCTACCCTCAAATCTCGAGCATTATCTCTCATTCATACTGTACACATATAATTAAAATTATACATAGAAATGCATATCTGAATGAGAAACTAAAGCATTATTATTCTAAATCCACAGGTGATGTCGCAATAAGAAGAATTCTTTAGGTAAGAAATGAGAATATATGAATCTAGCCGTTGGATTTGACAATAGTGCAGTAAAAAACATTTTATGTTGCACTAAAGTATGCAACCTAGCACAATGGCATTTTAGTAAGTACTTCTGAAAAATCATATTACATTTGTCTAGTACAACATGAAACTATTTTGGTACAACATCATCACATATTAGTACAACATGAAACAATTTTAAGGTCACATTACAAATTTAAATCTTATGCAACATGAAACTATTTTTAATGGAACGGCGTAAATCTGATGGATGCGATACACTTATGAAACAAATGTTTCATTCAATGGGATGAAAGGGCGTTTTGTGTACGTACAATAATGCAAGTTGGCTTTTGCGGCTAGCTAGAAACACAAGTAACGTAGTGGTTTTCAACATTTTCTTAACCAATTAAGATCTATGTGTGTGTATATATATATTTGTTAAAACGTGTCTTGTATGGATCATAATTTGTATAGAACGGAATGTGTGTATGTTCAGAATATGAATGAATTCTTGATCGACCACGAAGTAAAGTCGAGCTAGGCGACATTTCTTCAAAGCCTCATTTTGCATCTAAGCTAGATAGAGGGAGAGAAAACATGTGAAAGTTTGTCTTAAAAGTAAGAATATTTGTCTATCCTAAAAATTCAATTGTCTAAGACAAGAATAAAATGAAAGAATTTTTAAATTGAAATTCATCTTTTTCACATCACACCTAGCTCACGTTTACGTGTCCATTGCTAAAACAACATCGTAAATCAACCTCATCAAATGACCGGATTAAGGATCAATAGAAGCTCGTAAGGGTGGTAAATCAATATGGATTGAAATATATAATATGAATATATACTCCGTATGTATTATTACACGTCAAGCTAAAATCATAGAATAGAAAGTATTCAATTTCACAAATTATTATTTGTAATGCTTAATAATCAGAGAAAATGTAAATAGTAATGAAATATAAACAGAAAGCTATAAATTATTATATAAGTATTTTTCACACAAAAAAATGGAATACTTCGTAAATACTTGATTGGTATCATAGTAGAAATTATTATTATATATTTAATTTTCTTATTATAATTATTAATAAGTATCTAATGAGCTTTTTTTGTTTGTCCTATTCTTGTTGCTTGTTGCTTATTTTTAATTTATTGAAATCATATCAGAAAAATCAGATCACGTCATGTCATATCAGAAAAATTCAGATAAGATCAGATTATAAATATTCATACCATATCAGGTAAGAAAGATTTCGATCAGATCAGAAACATTTAGATTATTAGAAACATTCAGATCTAAACAGAGAAGATAAGATCAAATCATAAAGATTCAGATCAAACCAGATCAAATCAAAATCAGATCAGATCAAACAAGATTATCAGGAAATTTTAAATCAGATTAGGCTAGATGTTAAAAAATTCATATAAAAAATGTTTAGATCAGACGAACAAAACAAATTCTGAGTTAGTTGTATTTCTGTTTGTGTGAGAACACCACATAAGATTGAAACTCTACGATTGGAATGCTTTTATTTATAGCGTTCTAGGCTTCTACGAAGTATTCGATTTTTTGTGTGAAAAATAAAGGCCAAAATTTTCAAACCGCATTATAACATTTTGTACTACGTAAGATTCAAATAAACTAACCCTAATGACTAATGAGTAATGTACTAATGTCCAGGAACAAGTTCATCTTGTTCCAAGAGCTTGCGAGTGGTAATGGCTGAGACGTTGAGTAGCTGACGAGTGAAGGGATACACTTAAGTAACGAGTGTATCTACATAGGGATCTCGCGGGTCAAGGCAAACAACTTTGTCCGAAATTTTTATTCAAATATTTTTTTAAATATGAAATGACTAAATACACAATATCATATTAGAAATAAATGATTTTATATCCCGTTGTTTAAATAATTTTATTTATTTTTGTTAGAGATTATTATTAATTTAATTATATCTATATTGTTCAAGTTATTTTAGGAGAATGTGTTACTTTTTAATACGTGACATGCTAAACTGCTTAAATATACTAATAATAATTATTGTTCAAAATATTGAATATGACATCAATAGATTATTATTGTTCCTATTTTGGGAATTTTCAAACTATATAATCATATACTACGTATTAAAGAAAAATTGACAACAATAATCTCACATTTGGTTGGTCTTCTCATAATTATCCTACATTTGCACCTTATATCTTCTTTCGATGGACCTTGACCGATTTGGTTACATGTTGTATCAGGTTTTTTTCCTTTTCTTTGGAAACCTTATATAAATAATCTCACCTTTTATAAATCTGCTCAAAATAATTATGTTTCATTTTCCCCCTTTTCTCCCAAAATATTCCTTTCTTTATTTTTATCCCTAGAAACTTCTTTTATTCCATTTTCAATCCTTTTGTTTTTATCTTTTTCATATTTTTTAATTTTATTTCTATAAAATAACTTCAGCCAGAAAAGTAAATACAACCTAATGATTTTGCTTTTCATTCAATTCAGCCCGCGAAGAAAAAAAACTACATATAATAAAAACTTGACTGATGAGATCCGATAAACTTAGGGTGTTGCTTGATGCACCATTACTTCTATGGCTCGTTTGATAGTTTACACATTAAAACTTTACATGCAAAACGATTGCATGTAAAGTTAAAGGCGTTTGCATGTAAAATAAAGATGCATCGTTAATTTATTTTTAAATTACGGGCTAACTCTTTACCATGTTTGTTCGGAAAAATATTTACATGTATATATATTATATATAAGGACTACACACCTCCGTATAGGAGGCCTCGATTGACCAATGGCTTCAATCACAAATTCAAGTGTGAAGGATTTTTCCTCCAGGCCAGCAAGCATGAACGACGTGCAACCTTTGATGATTATTAATCTTGGGTTATTTAATTTGTTGAATATTATTAGTCTTTTTTATTTTGAGCCAAAGAGATGCGAATCTGCTTCATTTAACAGACTCAATCGACTACACTTTTGCTTTGTCGCCTCATCGCCTGAGTCTTCAAAGAGTCGGTCTACGTTGAAACCAGGAACTCAATGCTCCGTATATGTACTCTCCCTCTTATAAACGAATGTAAAATAGTTTACCACTTTCTCCCCACGTAAACTATTTTACGTGGTACAGTGTAAAATATTATTTTAAAAATGTCCTACAATTTATATTAAATAATTAAAACAAACGGTGTAAAATATTTACATCTCCACACTTTACACGCAAAGTGTTTACTTTACATCCTAACAAACGGGCCCTTAAAGAAAATGTAACCTTGATAAGACTATCTTATCCTTACTTTTAAAGAGTTTACACGCACACCCATCAACTTAATTAATTGCAAAATTGATTCATTATCCGATAGTTTCAGCCATGTGGTGATCAATTACTATTTTTATAAAAATGTTATAACCTTTTCATTTAAATTCCAATTTTTACAAAAATATAGAAAATCAAATATTTTAATGACCTTTCATAAAATACCAATATGACATATGTAAAAGTTTTTAAAACAAATTATGATCAGATTAGTTTAAATTTGGTATAGTGAACGACTAGTAAATGTGTATTTCACTAAAGTACTTGCTTCGTCGCTTAAAATTTTCTCATATTTAATTTTTGGGTTTTCCCAAAATTGCCACTTTCCCTTTTAAAAAATTAATTCGTAATTCCAATTGTTTCTCTTTCCTTTGCAAAAATCTCAACTACAGAGTTTTCCTATTACTTTCTGCACCGTTTAAATTTGACAAAGGTTAAAGGACGGATGGAGTATTGATTTAAGAGACATTAAATTATACGAAGGCACAATTGAAATTTGATGTATACATATTAACTTGACAAAAATTCATTTATCAGGAAACATTAATTTATATTTATAATGTCAATAAAGTTGTTTTTAATTGGATCAAAATTTTTTATTATGGTCTGATTTGGTATGATCTGGTCTGGTCAAAGTCTGTTCTATATGTATTACTCGTATACAACTATCAAAGTTTAGTCTGATCAATTTTGATATGTTTCAAGTCTAATATGGGTCTAACACCATCTAGTTAAAACATTCTAAATATTGGATGATAGTTATATGTAATAGAATAAAGACAATATCTTTTCAATAAAAATATGAATGAAAAAGCATATTTGTTAGTTGTTAGAGTATGTGATCATATAAATATTACCGAACATAGTATGCGACAAACACAACGAAACACATTACAAAGAAAAATGGAGACCCAGACCGGGACCCATATTTTCCGGTTCGGGGCCATTGTAGATAAATATTACGTAGTACTAAACATTGTACGCGACAAAAACAATATAACATTTTTTTATTTATATACTAATATAATTTTTATTTAAAAGTCCGAACCGGTTCGGGACCAGACCGGGACCCATATTTTCCGGTTCGGGGCCAGAACTGGGACCGAACCGGATCTAGTCCATGCATAAGCCTAACCATATCAAACCAAATCAGACTTTGATAGTTGCATAATAAACGTAGAATAAAAAACTACCAGACTAGACTAGATCAGATCATATTAAATCAGATCATACCAAAAAATATCAGTCCAACTAGAAACATCCTTATTAGCATTATAATTATAAATTAATGACTTATAATATTTGAATTTCGGTCAAATGAATATGTATACTTCAAAGTTGTCTTCTTATAATTTTATGAGTTTTAATTTAATACTTTAGTGAAATGCACATTAGCAGCCCTTAAACCAAAATTAACAGACGTGATTATTATTATTATTATTATTATTATTATACCCATAAGATATTGGTGTCATATTAAAAATTATAAAAAGATATTTAACTTAATATATTTTTCATAAAAATACGGATGAAAAAGTTATAAGAGTTAACATTTAATAAAAATAATACGGAGTAGTTGTTGCCCATGGTTTTTTTGAAGGATTTGCCCATGGTTGATAACAATTGGATAGACAATTTTTAGGGACTGGCGTGTGATAAACTAATGGTGCCACCAAGCAATTAAATCAAGTACGGAATAATCAAAATGATTTATAAATTGAAGAGGACAATGCTGTCCGATCATGAACGAAGTTGGGTGTGCCCAGCGCCCCAGCATTTGTTCGGGTGCGCGAAGGAATAAATTATGCATGCTTTTAAAGAGAAATGTCTCTCTTCTTATTATGTTTTTGTTTTATATAGTCCAATAATCCACAAATGCCCAAATGTAAGTGGTTACATTAAAATAAGCAGCCCGGCTTCTTATGCACGCCCATTCGTACACGCTTCGTCGGTGAACATGCTATTTTTTACAGAGTAAAGGTTTACTCTGTCCGTGCGTGCCATTTGAGGTGGCTTCCGGTGGAATTTTTTATTAAATTTTTTTGAGCATCTTATTTATTAAGTCTAGTTCACTCATACCAAATTTCAGCTAAACATTCAATCGGGAAGACATTCAAATAAATTCTTGAAGATAACTGCGCTTTTAACGACACAGTTATCTTCAAGAATTCATTTGAATGTCTTTCCGATTGAATTTTTATCTGAAATTTGG